GACGGCTTGAGCTAATGTTGGAAATCAACTCAACATTGAACACATGGAACGCTCTGGAGCTTGGTAGAAATCTAGCTAGCGTTCATAGGTGCGTCAAAAGCATACATACGTTGAAAGCCCTCCTGCTATCCATCATCTACTTGTCTCTAGTAAAAATGAAGTCGTTTCAGGGACTCATAATGCTCATGTTACCTGCGTCACAGGATCGCCTGGCGAGTTCCAAGCGCGTGGAATTGGACCATAATGACGAGAAATAGCCTCGCAGCTAACTGTTGCATAGTTCGTCATCAAATAATATCTAGCAAATGACCCATCCTGTGTCAGCGTGAGGCGCTCTTTCCACAATAATCTGCTTCATATCTGCAAGTTGATGCTTAATGCAGTACTCTATAGAACTGGCCCCAAGACCAATATCAGCCCCGCGGCCAAGTAAGATACGTGCCACTTCGCCATGTTGACCTAAAACGGCTTTATATACCGCAGTTTCTCCAGATCCATCCACGGCGTTGACATCTGCGCCGTTGTCGAGGAGAATCTGGACAATCTCTTGGTTTCCAGCATAAGCTGCCGAAGCAAGAACATAACAAAGTACTCCATCCCTGTTTTCATGGGTATTGGGGTTGGCCCCTTCCAGGAGCAGGAGCTCAACAGTTTTCTTATCGCCTGCCACTGCGGCAGAGAAGAGCGAAGGGCGTTGGGCCTGGCAGCCATCTGTTGTGAGCTTTGAAAGATGCTCAACTAGCAACCTTTTGATGTTCTCTTGGTTGTTTCCTGAAAGAGCCAATAAGGCGGATTGTATACAGCTGCTGTCAATGTGCAGCCTATCGCTGTGGTCAAGCAACAGCTTAACAACCTGTCCGTGGCCACTACTTGAAGCAGCATACAAAGGATGGTCCTCCCGGAAATGCTCTGGGAGAAACTCAATACAATTTTCGAGAAGTAGGCTGACGATGGCTTGGTTACCATTACTTGAAGCAATGTGTAAAGCTAGTGAATGAACGTCGTCGCCTGTACTTTCCCCTGCGCCATGACCGAGCAAAAGTCTGACCATGTCCTCGTCATCATTAGCCGCAGCAACAAGCAAAGCGTCCTCATTGAATTTGTTACGACTTGTGAGAACGTTTGCTCCGCGATCAATCAATAAAATGACGATCTTGATATGTCCATTTTCGGCCGCAGCAACTAGAGGGTCTAATCGTTGCGTGAGGTCGTCGCCGGAGTGAACATCTGCTCCATGATCGAGTAAAAGCTCTACAATACCCTCCTGGCCGTTACGTGAAGCAACTGCTAGGGGACTTGGTTCCCCACTGCCATTGGGACTTGCGCCATTCTCAAGCAGGACCTCTATGATTTCTTGGTATCCTTTGCTGGTTGCAGCGTCGAGAGCCCACTCGTTTCCTTCGAGTGGAGAGCCGTGGCCCGCGCTGACTCGTTCCTTCAACAAACTTGTCAAGACCCTGGGAAGCCCAGCTTTGCAGGTAAAGTAGATTGTTGGTGATGAACAGTTGGACGCATTAATTATGTCGAGGTGCTTTTGGAACAGGTCTATGCTCCCGTTGACTCGGAATAGTGATAGGAGGCCCTCTGCGATATTATCGCAAGCCTCCGCCAGCCGAGCATAATCGAATAGAACTTCCGTTGCCTGATTGGTGAAGGGGCGATCGAGGCATCCGGAATGACTGTCTTTCAGGTATGCTAAGCATGTATTTACCATTTGAACGCTGGCTGTCATGATCTGGAACTCGTGTTCGCGGAGAAGGTACTCTTTGACGGAAAAGTGTGCCAGGTGAACCTCTTTCTGCTCACGCTCGACCGTACGTTTGGATGGATATCCCTTGAACCTCCAATCTACGTAAGAATACGTGGTGGTCATGATTAGACCTGGGCAGTATCGCAGTAAGTCTTCGTCTACAAACAGCCTGCGCTCGATATCGAAGTGATGCGGAACTGTCTCGATATGTGTTGCCAGCACGTCTTTCGCCTCAGCCACCGTCAAGGGCTTGTCAGCATAGACAAGAAATCTCAGCAGCTGAAAGCCTTTCTGTTTCAATTCCGGTCGCATGTCTTGGAGTATGCGACGATAAGTCTCGTTTAAATCTCGAGGAAGATCGTTAAGAGCCTCTTTAATGGATCTAGGAGAGTCACATGTGGCGAGATTGTCGAGTTGGCACGTAGCCCACCTGAACCTGTAACATGTAAGAAGACGTAAAGGTTACATAAGATGAAGATATAGCTTACATGCCATCGGCTCCGTTCCCGACCTTGAGGCAAATCTGATCAATCAGATCTTGTGGGGTTCTCTTTGATGTAAACCTGGGATCCGAACCGAGACGCGCGTTGACATATAACGATATATCTTTATCGATGGCATCCTTGTCGAGTGCCATGCAGTTATGCTCGCCGAAAAGGCTGCTAAGCCTCTGTAGAAGGTCTGATTCTGGTCGGCCGGTCACTATCAGCTTAACAGTCCTTAGATCTGGGCGATTAACCAGGTCCTCCATCCAACAGAGAAGATCATTTCTCGCTATGCACTCATCCAGAGCATCAATAATGACGTTGACCCTTGGAAACAACTGCATCATTGAGTGAAGACACTTTGACAAGATGTCAATACCGGGTTGATTTCGGCCTTTGTCGCAGGCTTCGTAAAGCTCGTTCAGGTCGCTTGTCATTCCCTCCTCAGTCCGGTAAAGTTGCCAGACTAGCGAGCGGATAAGACTGTCCACAGTCTGCTTCCTGGTATCATTGAAGTCGAAGAAGAACTTTATAGTACGAGAAGTCTCATGGTTATCAAGACTATCAATGATAGTCGAGCACAGGATGGTCTTACCGCACCCTGCCATGCCGTGGAGCCAAAGGTGCTGTCGAGTGCCTTTATCCCACTCATCAAGAACATCCCCTTCGAGAAACCAGGTGCCACTTCGATTGTGCCGCCGACTTCTCGCGGTAATTGCATTGCTTGACGGGTCTGCAGGTGACAGCCAGTTGTGGAGGCTGCTGATGTGTTGCTCGTTGTCTAAAGCGGCTGTCACAATTTTGATCTGACATACATCTTGACGCAGACGAGCTACATCTTCCTGCACTATGTCGGATTAGCCGGCATGTTGTGAACGGCAGACCGCTTTACTAACATGAGTCGAGAACAGCGCTCAGACGTCGCTCGCCCTCAACCTCAGTGGGTGTGATCTGTCGTAGAAGATCTGACGTGTACGCAGCTGCCATCATAGCCGCAAAGCCTTGCCAGTCTTTGCTTTTATGAGAGTCTGAGTAGTCGCAAATACCACGAACTACTAAGCAAGGAAAGTGGTTTATCAAGCCAGCTGCCTCCATTTCGAAGCACAGAACGCCATGTTCCGTCGCCAGTTTATCTCGAAGGTTTGAATCTTTGACCAACTGATTGGCGCTAGCAATTAATCCGTAATGAATTTTGGGGTCGTCTTCTTCTTCTCCTCGCTGATTTCGGGATATTAAAAGGGCGGGATCATCTCCACACAGGCTTTCGCAAGTGTCCGACGAGTTTGGATGGATGACTGTGGAGAGGTATAACCTATCGCTTCTGGGAGAGGGGCGAGAGAATTTATTCTGAAGTCGTTTCCGAAGTTGAAGCACCTTGTCAACGTTTGCACTTAGCGTATGTCCTTCCATCTTGTAATGGCTCTCAAGGGCTTCGACAGCTGTTCGCAATAATGTTGGTGGTTGATTCAAGTGACCGCTGTATTGGAAGGCATCGTCCTGATTCTGAACAGCTTTACCGAAGTCGTACTGGGAGATGCCACCCCTGCCACCATGGCGAGAGCTAACTACGACGTCGCCTAGCCGTATATCCTGTCTAGGGCTGGGAGCGCCACCGCCAATGCCTACCATGAGTCCAATGCGTACATTTGGGAAACTATGCAGCATATCGCGAGCTACTATCGCAGCAGATGCTATACCGTATTCTCCATTTGGTAGCACAGCAATCACAATGTTATGCCCTCCAATCGTGCCTAGGGCGTAGTTGTTGTTATCATGCTGCGCGACGACCGATGGCCGCGCATGTTGTTCTTCGAGGAAGGCTTTTGCGGCAGTGAACTCGGTGCTAATAGCACAAATCCAACCAACCGTGTATATCTGGGGATCTGAGTACTGCTGAGAATGTGGCATGACTGGATGACAATGTCAAGCAATCGTTGCTCAGGCGTGGATTTCTTTTTTAGAAGTAGGTTGTCGAAAGAAAGATGTGCTCGGCGACACAGATTGAGATGATAGACGGACGCATTCGGACGCAACCCCTCAACGGGGGATGCTCCCGTCTCAAGCGATTGTGGGCCCAACGATACAAACTCTTCGCAGACTACGAACATTTGACAGCCAATCCAGTTTGCATGTTTGCGGTGATGGGTTTGGTTTGATCCATCGAACACAAGCGAGCGAATGAAATGCTTTCACGTACTTATGGAGATGTTCAGACTGGTTGGTTTCTGCTTTGTCATGAAAAACGTGATGGAACCATCATGGCTGTTAGGGAATTAGGGAACTCAAGGTGGGGCTTGGGGCGTTCAAGATTCGGGGCTTCAAAAGCCATCGCGATCGTATCTGAGTTCATTTTTGCAATTAAAAGAAATGATTAGATCAAGGCAAAATCTGTTACGCGGCTGTTACGCACATTGTCCGATGCATGAGAGAATTGTGTAAATATTTGACGGGTGCGCCAGCATTGAGCTTTGCACAATAGGACCCTTTTCCAGAATAGGAGTTAGGGTGGTGCAAACATGTATCCAGATGGCCGTGTACACCGTTGCTGCTCGTAAGTCAGACTATGTAGTGACTTTCAAAAGTAAGAGAATGTGAAAACGTAGCCTTGAAGCCTTTCTGGAAATCGAGAGGAATATTGAGGACCACCTGGGACCTCTTGGTGGTCCATATCCCATGCAATCTTAGCAACGCCAAATGGCACGACTTTTGACTTGTAGATTAGCCTAGCCTCGTTCATACCTGGGGGCGTGATAAATAACAGGGGTTCATGATGTGCCATTGATACCATTGATGCCATTGATGTTGTGGACAATATTTGCAGCAGGCTCATCAAAAAAGTCCTCGGAGTCATAGGCAGGAGCCGCCTCAAAATCGCACTCCAGGTTGCATCTGCTCAGAACCACCACGTGCTTTTTGGCTAACGCCTCTGAAATGGGGTTTCCGCCCTGATCCTGCGACCAGTCAATGGTCTCGATGGTATTAATCTTGCTACCGTTGCCACTGTTGTCCGTTTTGATGACGATTGAGTAGAGCTCATGACCCATGCCGACCCGAATGATGTGAATGGTGACGGTGTCGTTCCCTTCGTGCGTTTCATTATTCGTCTATCGGTGGGAAGCAACACTACCCCATGCTGAGGAGACACCCGCTACCACTCCAACGTCATCTAAGGCCTTCATTTTGTACAAAGCTAAATGAGAAAGCTGAGCACGGAATCCTTGTCTGCTGGCCTGTCTTCAAGCCCCTGAGATGGTGATAGCTCAGTCGCCTTAGAGGGCGGCAAAAACCACGGTGATGTCAAGTATGTCCACTATATCCACAATTTTGATCATAACGAGGCTGAGGAAGACGCCATGGCTATACAGAAGAGGTATCATCATGTTTACTCTAGAGAGAGTTGAATGTCGGACTTTCGTTTCCTGCAGTGTATCGGGTCTTTGTTGCCTCAAGGGAATGGCATCCGCAACGTCAAAGTTGAAACTCTGGCAGCAGGGATGCAAACGAGCCTACATGCGAAAGACACGAACGATGGAACGTAGAGAACGCAGGCTATCCTGCTCAAAAGATGGGATAATTATGGTCAATATCTGAAATAGAATCTTTGCAAGGCTAGGCCCATGCTGGCAGTCGATGCTAATAGCTGAGCCACCTATGTCGGTGATGTACTTCGACCAAGGAAAGTCGCATTTCGTTGAACTGACCTTCCTTTCTGGGTTGATGCACTTGCTCCCTGTGCATCATCATCTGTGATTCCCAGGATACCATCACATACCAATGTGACGGGAATCTCTCGCGAAGGTTATGAACGAGCCCAGATGTGCTGTTCTATCCATCTTCAGAATCGAGCTCATTGACATAAGCGCGGACGATGGTCCATGAAGACTGGTGACCTTGCATACGGCATTGCTTAATTCTGGGACAAGCGTCAAGCACCGCCAGTTTCCTCATTGCAGCTCTCGGAAGAGGCTCGCCTGGATGTTGGCCAGCGGTAGCATGACCGGCACCTTCACGCTAGAATCCCAAACATCAGGGCCCAGCCAGCGATACCGTAAGCATCGCCTTGAACAGTCTGGTGCTGCCCTCGGAAACCATGGCGACATGAAGATACCCCACGTCGCGCACACCGCTCCCGATAGCATGGTTGCAGGACGGCTTCCTGCAGCCCAACCACCCGGGGATCGTACCCCTCATGGATCACCCCTCCGAGCCAATGTTCTGCCCAGACAGCTTCAAAGGCGGAACGGCCCGCGCGAAAGGCCCGGCATAGGCGACTGATGGAGCGGGTTCTGGGGTCCTTGCGTCCGATCGGATCTGGATCGGGGTCACGATCTCGGAGGTGAGGTAGCCCCAGATGGCGCCATTATGGGGTCCTTGGCGCGATGCCCGCCAGGTCACGCAACGACAGACCTCTTGAAGAGTTGACATCCTCGACGGCCACTTGGCTCGCTGAGCTGGTGTTCTCAGTCGTCCATATGATTTTGAGCGACACCGAATCGTCTGCGACACTTCGCATCACGACGAGAGCAGTGGTAGAACTTGATGAAAAAGCAACGAAGAGGGCACTATCCCGCTCGGCCCGAGTTGTCAACCGGCACTTGTCGGCAGACTGCATTTAGTCCCAATCACCACCGAAATATTATTTGTTGTATGTCGGAATCGCCAGCAACATGCGCGTAGGAACAAGAGCCGCCTCGTCGGTCGCAACTCGCCCATGTCGTTCGACCAAGTGACTTCATAGAGGGCTTTACACCACATCAACTTCGTTTCTGAATCGAACGAAGAGATGGAGAAACTACGGAATCCTTGATCTGTTCCGGTATCTGATGCGATGAAGACGCGGAGTCTAAACACCGCCTCGCAGACTGATAGTGTTCAGTCACGACAGTCATGCACTAAGCCAGAAGACTCTGGGAAAGCTTCGACCGAGGACACTCCAGTCCCTTTTGCGCAATTTCTGCTGTTTTCAAACAAATTAGCTTAGGGTCCAACGTCTGGGGAAATGTACTGGATAGGGGAGTCACTGATGCACGAATGTTGAGTCTCACTTCATTCCCAAACACACAGTAGCACAACCAAATACAGTCTTGTGTCTTCAAGCAATTCAAACACTCAATCATTTCAATCGACAAGAATCACTCGAACGATTTAAAGTTTAAAAGACTCAAGCGGTTCTTTCAAGCAGGTCAGCTGCTGGTGATCACCCCGAAAGGAGACTGAGGACCTTGATGGTTGCATTGATAACAGCCCAAGGAATGGAGGTTTCAAGAACCCGGATGGCCAACCTTGATGGCCACCCTCCTCACACAAAATCATCCGCCATCTCCCTCGCCAACCACCGGTCGCGATGCTGCAAAACTTGCGCAAGATAGCCAGCGCACCTATCTCAACCATCGTTTGGTCAGGCGGCAGGGCTTGGACTGTTCATCAGCGACGGGCCGCGGATGCTAGAGGGCCGTTGGGTTGATGAGACAATTTTCCATCGGCCAGCACAGCTCGCATCCGTTGCATCCCCGCCGCTTGAGGAATGCCGCTTCTCCCTTCCACCGCCATTTGAGGCCCCTGGGAGCAGAGATGGGTTGAGCACATAAAAGGGACCACTCGTCCTGGTGTTTCCGTCCGACAGACTTGTTCTGTCGACTCTTCTACTGACAATTAGTAAGCCCTCTGGTTTCGACTTTTACCGACACCGCGACCGATGCAGCCCGATGAACGCGACGAGACACTCGACTTGAGAAGACCGAGAGGAGAGGGAAAGAGGAAGACGAAGAGGAAGTGGGAGACGCCTGAACCCCCTACGCCCTACGACTCTGCTCCTTGTCTCTTCTCATGGCCAATGTTTGCCTTGATCCTCGGGAATCGGCTCTCGCGCTGCGGCAAAAGACTCACGACCCCCCACGGTAATGAGCCACAACGGCACAAATCTCTCATTTTTCTCCTCTTCTCACATCCTGCTCTCTTCTCCCCCTTGTCGGTCCTCTCACCTTGGACACCGGACGTATCAGCTGATCGGGCAAACTGCTCCTTCGTGAGCGGTCCCCGTCGCCGGCGGCCAGTCTGTATGATCGGGCAACCCACGCTGTTTAGCTAACAGCTTTCTCTCATTTTGGTTCACTGCATCTGCGATATGAGGGTTTTACCGGGATTCTTCTTTCGGGCAAGGTTCTTTTGCTGTGGCCCCCATGGCACTGAGTCGACGACGCTCACGCACGGCTGAAGTTTTAGTCGGAGAGGCTATAGTCTGACTGGTGAGACCACTCTGTGAGTTGTCGTCGACGATCAAGACGACAGCTGAGGTTTTTGCCTTCGGCCATGACGATTATTCTTGATGACTAGGTCATCTGGCTTCAAGTTGTCTCTTTTGGCTTTCTTCAGCTCTTCAGCTATTATCTCTCACTTCTTGTGGTTTCTATCTTTTTCCGCCGCCGGGTCTGCCTAAGTAGAACGGACCCTCATTCGGCCTAATTGCTAGTCCCTTGTCTGGCCAATACGGGGTGGCCGGGCGCATCACCTGAAGAGTCGGGTGTGGGATGGTACAAACTCTGTTTCGCGCGGGTGCCGCTGCCAAGCGCCATCACAAGCAGATTTCCCTCTCTGTCGTCCTACATACTGTCATGCAGACACCAATTCACACGGCACCGCCAACCAGACCATGACAGCAAAGGCCGCGCCGTCGCCTTCGTAAGTCTACTGGTCGGCTATTCCAACAGTGCAGTTTCCGATACCATTCTTCACACACATGTTCTTCACAACATGGTACCCGAGATGCAGACCATCGAAAAAAAACCACCCGATAATCTGCACATTCCAGACCGGCTCTACCCACCCACTCCCACGTTCCCTTCCCTCAACCCCCCCAAATCTCTCCATCCATAGACCGAACGTCTGACCGATGAAGGGCGGGGCTATCCTCATCGGGCCCTTCTCGTCCACTCAGTCCGCGACGATCCCACGCCAGCCCGCCTCCAACATCCCATTCACACGACCACGGCACCTCATGCACGCCCATCCTGCCGCCCTGCCGTGGCTCGCCATGAACCTCGCGCGTGGATGCCCAGTCGTCCTCACATGGCCCAATCACAACCGCCCGACGCCCCCCGTTGCCGGGTCCACCCAGCCCCGAACGTGGAACCCACGGGCTACCACACCTGGACGAAGGCTGCACCCGTAGCTTCGGGCCCAAACCCCGCTTCTGCTACTGCAGAGCAAACGTCTGGTCCCTCCAACGTCCGGCCTATCTTGGAGTAGATGAGCTATTATGGATCAAGCCATGGGAGTGCCAGCCTGATGCGGTATCACACAACCGCCATGTCAGCATCGCTGCACTGCTGGCTGGGCTGGTTGCTCCAAACGGCGCCGCGGCATTCGCGGTATCTCCTCCGACAATCCTTGGGATGCCCGCCCCTCCTTCCTCCGGCCACGCCCGCTTGACCCTTCCACGTAATGGCGAATGATACCGCGCCTCCTCGCGAGATAGCCATCTGATGCTTGATGCTCTAGCTGACTGTACGTGGGGGACGTAGCTCGAAGACGGGTATATAAACCCCAGGACTTCTCGGCTTGAGATGTTGTTTCTTTCTCTTCATCGACTCAACAAGCTCTCAGATCTCACTTCCAAACAAACTAAACTACCAACTTTCAAGCTTTTCGCTTAACCCAACCAACTTTCAAAATGGCCCCCTGGTGAGCGGCATTCGACCTTCTTTGGAAACAGAGAATTTGAGAAATGCGGTCTTGTTCAGACAAGCTACACATTTTAAAAAATTCGAGTTTTCGGAGATTTCTTCACCGAGCTGCCAAATAGCTAACCAGATTCATACAGCTCTTGCAAGTCTTGCGGCACCAGCTGCGCCGGCTCCTGCACCTCTTGCTCTTGCGGCTCTTGCTCCGTAAGCTCTCCTCGCATCAACCTCCCCCTCGATCACCAACTAACATAACCACAGCACTAAATTCAGCATGACGCCTCCGCGAAGCCGCATCTGTCACCCTCATGAAGAGGCTCGCTCGACCTCATCAACATCCATCGAGCTGCGTGCCCCCCGCCGAAACGGACCGAAGTCGTTATCTCATGGGAATGAGGGACTGAAGGATACTGGTTTTTGAAGCGGGACCCAATGCTGGATCTACAGTTTTGACCGACCTCTGCCGCAACAGAGCTTGCTTGTGTGGAGATCGGCCATGC